AGTTTGAAATACTTAACAACAAACTGGTTAACACAGCCTTCACTGCACTTTCTTAATTATTGTGTTAAGACATTTGTACTCTACACTTCGTAGATTTGACATGTACCATGTACGTGTCAACATAAAATGCACCATAAGTGTGGTCCCACCATCCATCCTTTCTCCTCCCCTCCCCCCCTTCTTTTCCTCCTGCATCTTGGGCTATAGTTGGGTTATAGCTTTCATATGGAAGTGTGGGTGATTATATATTGGTTTATAGTAGATCTGAGTACACTGGATACTTTTTCTTCCATTCTTGAGATACTTTACCAAGAAGAATATGTTCCAGCTCCATCCATGTAAACAAAAGAGGTAAAGTCCCAATACATTTTAGATAATGGTTTAACAACTACTTTCAACCCTCACAACAATACTTCCAAATAGTTATTATTCTCTCCAACCCACAGATTAAAAAAAGCAACATTACAATGTTCACTACCTTAATAAGGGTGGAGTCAAAAGCAGAGAGGGAGACCAGTCTCTGTCCCCAGGGCTGCAGGGCCAGCCCAGTCTTGGGTCTGCAGGGCTGCAGAGGCTGCCCAAGGTCCACTACAGGTGAGACAGGGCCAGAACTTCAGCGTACAGCTACCTAACTCCAAGGTTGGAAAAATATATTACCTTCATCCTTCTGCAAACAGAGAAACTGAGTTCTGAACACAGTGGTGACCCCGATTTGCTGTGGTGTCAGAGCACGGCTCACGGGCGGAGTGAGTGAGATGAGTGTAAGTACCTAAAGGCTGATGAAGCTGTTTCAACCTCTCTGCCGAGGGTGCCACTTCCCAACAACTAACCTTCATAGCAACAGCTGCATCTCTCTGAGGATGCAGTTCAGGAAGGAGATTTTATTTCATTCACATATTCCTTGAGAGGGTGAATTTTATAAAAACATTACCGTATTTATAGCCAAATTCTTCTTCGGGCTGACAGCCCTTTCTAATTCATTATCTATTCTAATTTTATCATTCTAAAAAAGTAACCTACAATTGCCTAAGATAAATCAGAAAGTATCCTCATGAAGGGGCTACCTGTCAAAGTCGGAGGGCAGCCGCTCGCAGTTCTTGACGACCCTCAGGACCTGCATCTCCGGGCTGTTGAAGCAAGGTGGCAGCAGGCCGTGGATGTTCAGCTGCTGCCGCTCCTCCAGGGTGAAAGCCAAGTCCTGCAGGAGCAGAACACACAGTGAACGGAGGGGCGGAGGACAGGCAAGGACACGAAGTTCAGAACCTGCAGATCTGGTGTCGCTCCAAGCACGGCCCTGAAACTGAGTGCATCCTGTGAGCGCTCCACGCCTCAGTTTCCTTTTCTTTCCTTTTCTTTTGTTTTTTGAGACAGAGTCTCAATCACCTCAGTAGAGTGCCATTGCATCACAGCTCACAGCAACCTCAAACTCTTGGGCTTAAGCAATTCTCTTGCCTCAGCTTCCCAAGTAGCTAGGACTACAGGTGCCCACCACAGTGCCAGCTATTTTTTATTCTTGTTGCAATTGTCATTATTGTTCTAGCAGGGTTCAAACCCTCCAACCTCAGTGTACGTGGCCAGTGCCTTAACCACTGAGCCACGGGTGCCTCCCTAGGTTTCCTTTTCATAAAGTAGGAGTACTAAGGGCAAAGCTGTGTCACTTGGTGTCATCAGAATGAAGGTAGAGGATGGGAGGAAACTCCTTATAGGCACAGGAGAAGACACAGTCATCAGTGATACCAGTGAGTATAAAAACAGTTATTGTAAGAGATTTTTAAAACCATGAATATGGGTAGGTCACCCATAGAGTAGTGACACAGGGTCCCCACTCAGCACCTAAACCCCATTTTCTTTTCTTTCTTTTTTTTTTTTTTTTGTTGCAGTTTGGCCAGGGTAGGTTCGAACCTGCCACCCTCAGTATATGGGGCCAGCACCCTACTCACTGAGCCACAGGCACCATCTTAGGACCCCCATTTTCCAGGCCTGGTTGAGCTCAGAAAATCAGTCTCATCACAGACCCTGGTCTCTAGGCACAAACAGGCCCCCTCCAGGCCCTAGCCTGCCAGGCTCTGGGTGGGCAGCTCCTCCCCCACAGGGACCACACGCCCGAATTCTTGCCTGGGGCAAGGCCTGCAAGGCCTGCATTCCTTTGCTAACTTTTAGGATTATTTTAGGGTTATTTTCTGCCCACAGGATTTAAATCCTTAGACTGAAGGGGGGGATGGAGAGCTTCCCGCTTGGATTCCCCTCCTCCAGCACCAGAGGTTCTGTTTCCGCTCTTTGTTAACAATCTTTCTATCAATCTTTCCATCAATAAACTCTGTCCTTTCACTGATCCACATGTCTGTTTCATTCTTTGAAACCTGACACCAAAAGAACCAACAGAAATTGTGGCCACAGAAGGTCGAGAAATGCCTTATGTGATACCAATGTCTTGGTCTCCACGCTCCTCTCCAGAGCCGTCTCCTGCGACTGTCAGGCACTCCCAGGGGCACAGAACATCTCACCATGACCGTGACGCTTGGTCCAGAACATCCTCCTTCCCGCTTCTCTGCCCTCCAAGCTCCTCTCTAACCTTTCCAGACCCACCCAGCGTATCTATCACAACCCTGTGATTATATCTGTGCTACCGGTTCACATGAACATTGATTAGTTAGGACCACAATACAACAAACTGTGAAGCCAAAAAAAAAAAAAAGGCAAACAAAATAGGAATTATGCATTGATGCAAAAACCAGAGTGGGCCTAAGAGATTTTCTGGGACATAATATGAACAGAAGTAACAGCAGGGCAGCCGCACACATCCCTAGTAGAAGAGAATGACGCAGGTTGTGAGGAGTCCCCTGAGAGGTCTCCCTTCCCAGACGCCAAAGCCTGACGGTCACTGCTGCTCCTTTGGTCCAGCCCCAGTGCCCTGACACAGTGTGACAGTTCTGTGATGGGAATGCTGTGTCCTCCAGAATTCACGGTTTAAAATCCTTCCCCCCGACAGAGAGGGGAGAGACAATATGCAGAGACAGGACAGGCCCACCAAACTTTGTCAGATGGTGGGATTTTGGAGAACAGTGAGAGTAGCCTCTCCAAGACTGTTCTGTTCTATCATTTCCAAAATCAGTTTTATAGTTTTGTAAATAAAGGTTCAAAGTAAAGAACACACCAACCCCATTCCAAATAATAATCAGCATAACTGATGATTATGTCTTATGTATTATGTCTTAATACAATGTTCCAAATCAAAAGTTAACCTCCTAATTCAGTCCACCTAAACCCTCAAGATGGGCATCTCTAGGGTGAGAGCTAAATTTATAAAACAGTAAGAATGAGAGACAGGAGGTGAGGTCACTTAGGACCTGAACCGACCAGACCAGCTGTGTCATCTCAGCCCTCGGCTGAGGGATGTTACCTTACTCTCACAAGGGTGCTTTCACCCCACCGGGACGGGGTTAACCAGCTGGGCCTCTGAGAGGTGATCAGGTCTTGAAGGCAGCCCCTGCATGAACAGGACCATTCCGCAGAGTCTGCAGCACCCTTAAGTGGGACTTCTGGCCTCCAGGAACGTGAGAAACACATTTCTTCTGTCTAAGGATTCTGCGCAGGCAGCAGGGATGGGCTAAGGAGCTGAGTGTGCTCACTGTGACCACTGCTGTTTCCAGACCACACGGACAGGACAGGCAGGGGTGATTCCACAGCCTCTGCCTCTGTCCCTGAAGCTTTTTGCAATGGCGTAAGAGTGACTTTTGAGTACTTGTGAGGTTTACTACTTGGGGAAAAAGATAATTTAGTTCATCCCAGAGAGAGAGACGACAGACCCCGACTGGTGAGCAGGGAACACGTACAGCTCCACGAGGTTTGGGAATGAGCACAGCGGACGAATAGCCCTCCCTTTCTTCTGCTTTCTGTAGTGGACAGGCTGTCAGCCCATGTCCCTGATGCAGGCTGGGTAAGTAGCCCCCTGGGTAGGGCTCAGACTAAAGAGAGACAGAGACCCCTCCACGAACACCCCCAGTAGAGCTCCCGGGTTGGCTGCCCGAGCTGGCTGGGACAGCGGCCACAGAACCTCCAGGGCAAGCAGCAGGACCTGACTTTTCCAACCAGCCCTTGAGGCCTGACTAGGCCTGACTAGGTTTCTGACTAGCAACCCCCCCCCCCCCCGCAGAGCTGCAGAAGCCCTGGATTTCACAGGTGTGGGTCCTCTGTAGTTTCATTGTGCGGGGGCAGCAGCAGGATGGTCCCTTTCCTAGAGGATAACCAGTGTCCAGCTGTGTCTGCCCCTTGTCCTCCCCCAATGCCTAGGGAACAGCAAACACCAAGTCTTCTGGCCCTCTGGCCTCAGCCCGGGAGTCCACCTGACACCAGGAACACTTTGGTGTTGCCTGAACTCTGCCTGACCTTCACTTCCCCGCTGTGGTTTGTGTCCCCACAAGAAAACTCCATGGGGTCCGGGAATGGTATCTGTTTTCTTCACTGTTTCTCCCAATGTTTCTCCAGAATAGAACCTGAAGAATTAAAACCCAGCAGACGCATTACACATTTTTTTAAAGACCATCAAATTCCTATTCAGGAAACTGACTAGCAGATTCATTCTGATAAAATTACTTTTTTTTCTTTTTTACAGAGACAGGGTCTCTATTACACTCACTGCAACCTCAAACTCCTAGGCTCAAGTTATCCTCCCACTTCGGCCTCTCAAGTAGCTGGAGCTATAGGCATACGTCACCACGCTCAGCTAATTTTTTTGTTTTATTTTTAGAAATGAGATCTTGCTATGTTGCCCAGCCTGGTCTTAAACTCCTGGCTATGAGCAATCCACTACCTTGGCTTACCAAACTGCTGGAATTACAGGCATGAGCCACAGTGCCTGGTCTACTTTTAAAATTTAAAACAACCAAAAGGAATACTTACATTAAAAAATAATCTATAAAATGAAAGACAGACTTTACTTTAAGATACACGTTTAACTGGGAACACTGACCATTTAAAACAAAATATCATGAAATAATGCAGAATGAAAACAAAATTACGTACAGTCATATACCCGAAAAAGAAAGAAAACAATAGATTTTTCCCTAGCTAGAAAATGAAAAGTGAAACAGAGCTAAAGCAAGACTAAAGTTAAGGTTTCAAAAATGTCTAAACGTATGTGAAGAAGCAGTAATGAGTGTCACGCCTGGAAGACCTGTCTGCAGAAGTGATCAAAACAGCAGTAGGATGAGAATAAGCCTTTTATCAGAAGCACAAGCATATGCTCCTTTACTCACTCGATAATGGCATTTAACAAGAATTTATTCCAATAGCTAGACAGTCTGTTTACATGAATTTTCCAGCGGTCTGTTCTGAAACTAATTCCTAAATCCCACAGGTTTCCATATCTCATGCCATGTAATAATCGTGAAATCTGGGAATCTTTTTTTTTTTTTTGAGACAGAGTTCAAGCTGTCCCCCTGGGTAGAGTACTGTGGCATCACAGCTCACAGCAACCTCCAACTCCTGGGCTCGAGCGATTCTCTTGCCTCAGCCTCCCAAGTAGCTACAGGCGCCCACCACACCTGGCTACTTTTTAGTTGCAGCCATCACTGTTGTTTGGAGGGCCCAGGCTGGATTTGAACCTGCCAGCTCTGGTGTATGTGGCTGGCGCCTTAGTCGCTTGAGCTACAGGTGCTGAGCCATCATCTAGGAATCTTTTGATATTCTCTGACATTTTATGACAACAAACTCCCATAATCAGCCAAATTTTAAGACATACTAAAGTGACAATTCAGTTCTTTTAAAAACAACAAAACTTAGGGCTTAAAATGTGGGCAACTGGGCCAAGTTAAAGTTCTATGACTAGGTTCATATTCTACTTATTACCCTTTTTAATTAAAAAAAATAATAAGTAAACTTGACTCTTAAAATATATATGATTTAAATTAAAACACAGCTTTTATTTTTCATATTGACATATTCATAGAGGTATTATCTGTAGAAATTTATAAACAGGTCACCCAGATGGCATGTGTATTTCAAAGGTAAAGTTTATATCAGAAAATAATCATATAAAAATGAGTATTTTGGATGCATTTAGCCGTGCAGCCAAATTCTTTACTGCTAGTCTCCTTTAAGAGGCAGAAAATTAGAAAGAGGAGCAAGATAACAGCTGAGTAACAGCTTCCTTGCAACGAGGCACAGTAAGACGGGTGAGAGAAGACTCAGGCATCTCTG